AACCCTTGAAATCATGTTTGAACTCAATTGGTCATTGGCTAGGTTAAAAATCAAAAATTGCCCTTTCTCAGTCAAAACCCTAATTTTGACCATTTTGCCCTTTTGATGATTTGATCAAATTTCTTGAGGAGTTGTGATCCAAACTTGATCAAATGGTACATATGAGTCTAAAATGTTTATGTGGATAAAAAATTATGAAGTTTGACTGTAAATTGGCTATGGTTGATATTTTCCCCAATACAACTGATTTTTTAGGTCATCTGTCCAATTGACTGATCAAAAATGTGGTTCAAGACTTGAAACTTAACATGAGCAATCTTATAGGTCCAAGATGATGTATAAAAGTCACATGAAGCATTGGTGGTCCAAAAATCCTTGTGCAAACTCAAACCCTAATTTTGGGTGATCAGTGCAAGATGAGATGTCTTGAGCTGGTTTAACCCTAATCTTGTCTTGAGTCAAAGAAGTCTTGTGAGAATAGTCTTGATAAATGAGATGAAAAATTTTGGGGTACAACACATGGCTATGGATTTGGTTCATGTTCATCACAAAATATGCCTTGTAAATTAAGTTTGAAACCCTAACTTCTGGCCTTCGATTCTCTTAGCTCAAGTATGATCTCAATGAGTTCTTGGACATTTTGGAAATATTGTAACATCCTATACAACCTCTATGTTGGACATTTTTGAAGATTTATCTGGAAACTAGGTGAAAAGTTGCCATAAAGTTGGTACCAAAAATCTGCCTAACTAGGGCAAAATTTCACTAAGTGTTTAAGTTTCATGAGCATGTCTTCACAAATTCATAACTTGAAATCCAAGCATTTCTAGGAAAGGTTATGCCCTACAATATTTTAGATCTCATTGATATCTACAACTTTGATGTTAGAAGTTTCCCTTTAATCATCTTGCATCATGGTGGAAAATTATGAAAAAATGTGAACTTTCCAACACTTAGAAAAAATTCTAAGTCTTGGAAATTTGACTTTTCAAAGATGAATTTTGACTTTTTGATTTCTTGATGAAAAAGTTTCATATTTTGACATGTCTTGATGAATTGTAATCATTGAAACTTGATTTTGATCAAAAAGTTAAAGTTTGACTTTTCAATGTAAAGTTGACTTTTCATCAGTTGACTGAAATTCAATTATCAATCAATTGATCTTGAGAAAAGTTTTGACCCATGCCATTAGGTCAAACTGATGTATTTGAATCCTTGAGATCATGTCTTAACCCAATAAGTCATTTGTTAGGTCAAAAGCTAAAAATTGAACCTCCTCAGTCAAAACCCTAATTTTGACCATTTTGCCCTTTTGATGTTCTGATCAAATTTCTTGGGGAATTATGATCTAAACTTGATCAATTGACATATATGAGTTCATAATGTTGATATGGATAAAAAATTATGAAGTTTGATTTCCAATTGACCATAGTTGACTTTTCCCCCAATACAGTTGATTTTTAGGTCAACTGATCAATTGACTGAGCAAAAATGTGATCCAAGACTTGAAACTTGACATAAGCAATCTTGAGGGTTCCTAATGATCCATGAAAGTCATTTGAGGCCTTGAAAGTCCAATTGTCCTTGTGAAAACTCAAACCATAATTTCGAGTTATTAGTGTTTGAGGAGGTGTCTTGAGTTGATCAAACCCTGTGTAGTCTTGAATCAATGGAGATCTTATGAGAGATTTCTTGAGAAATGAGAGGGCAAATTTTGGGGTATAACACATACCTCCCCATCTTCGTCTACTATTTGAATTGGGTCGAACACATCATCCACGTCCGCCTAAGACGAAGGTTGCACGACGTACCATCTATCCTTGAAGTCACGAACAGAATCCATATACATCCTAAATAATCTCTTCGAGTGTTTCAAAGAAACCCATATATGTTTCCCACCCCTAGATTTCCGTTGGAGGTGGAAAACCTTGAAGAACAAAGGGATGGTCACCCCGATCCTCAGGAACCGACAAGTGATTTCAAAAGCCCGAATAAAGGAGATCGCATTAGGGTGTAATTAAGAGGGTGCTAGGTTCAAGTGGTTAAACAGACCCATCTGAAAGTCATTAAAGGGAAGACGAAGCCCCAAGTCTTTGAAGACAACCTCATACATAGGGAAATGGTCCTCCTCGAATTTTGTGCATATCCTAGGCATGGGAGTCGGCCACAGGATCGTGAAGTTCCAACGAAAACCTTCTTGATCGCCGCCATGCTCGACAATGGTATATGATTCCCTTCTGTTATAACTAAAGATCAAAGCTATCCCTCGAGGATCTGGCCCGACCCAGGACAACGCAACGTCATCGATCGTGTCGACCAAATGGAGCCCTTCCTCGACCGTGCTTGTCTCTTCAACGTCTATATGCTCGGATGACTCGAGGTAACGACCATTTCACGTGTAAAGCTGAGGAAACTAGTGAATTCGACAGCAAAATCACATCCACCCTTCCACGCAGCACAAGTGAAAGGGGATAGCGGTGCCGAGACAAGGTCGACGATCACTCGTGCAGTGAGGAACATACATGACCCACAATCAACACATGGAACTTATGAAAGTTTTGTAAGATCACACAATGATGATAATAAGAAAACGCATATTTCATGGGTACAACGGGAACGAGATTAATATTACGAGCATATCCATGAATGCCGCGAGGAACATACGAATTTGCCTGACAAATTCGTAAATTCACCGGGGAGTATATAAATTTCTCAGATAGAATTCATGAATTTCGTGGAGAATAGATGAATGTCACGGGTAAAATCATGAATTTTGTGGAGAAAAAATGAATATCACGAGCCCACTCACAAATATGACGCATGAATGCATGAACACCCCGAGCAAAAACTCCCCAATAGCGAAATTCTATAAAGAAATATCAATAAAGCCAATCGTAAACAACATTCAGTACGGAAAACACTTACTTGATCAGAGTAGGTGGAGAATCCGCGGTGGATCTTACGGCGGTGTTGATGGTGGGAAGGTGGCGAAACGGTACAGGCGGTAGAGAAAGTGGAGAGAGCGAAAACTTGAAATATGGGAAATGGGCCCTAAGGCACTATATATAGGGCTGCCGTGGAATACGAAGCGTTGCATCGGGCAGCCCATCAATCTCATTTCTCCTTGCTGCCTACGCGCTCAGGTAACAATGACCCCTACTCCCTAGGCCATCATTACTATCCTAAAGGCCACGCCACGTGCCCACACCCTGCGAGGTTTCCTCTCTCCGCGAGTCGAGGAACAACTGAAACATTCTCCATCAAGCCAATTTTGACCTCTGCTCGAGTAACCGCGCATCCTAGTGACCCTCTCCCTCGATGCAGTAAAAGATCCCCGATGAAATTATGCTCGCCGTAAGAAGAAGTTGGACTTAAGTCATAACTCCTTCATCAGGAGCAACGACTTGGGGGCCTCTTGTTCTGGACTGAGCTTGCACTTGGCCCAACTTTATATGAGGCCCAATTCAACTATGCTGCTCAAGGAGGCCTGCTGACCGAGCCTGCCATCGACTATGTTGGGCAGCAACCTCACCCTTCGGGAAAACGTGGCTTCGCTATAGGGGGATAAATCCAAGAATTGCGAAGAGGCTCCTCACCGGTCAAGAGGGCCTCGCGAGCATCCTCCACTCTTCTCGTCGACCAATACAAGCCCTCCCAAACGATCTCACAGCTGGCGGGGAGGACCTACGACAGACAAAAGGACATCACGAACATCCTCCTCGTAGGATTGACTCTCAACACCCCCGAATATCACGGAGTCCTCTTGGTCCCGAAAAGACCGCATCCATATTCTCCTGACAATTCGGGGGAGTCCATCAAGGTTGGGGACCACATGCTGGTCCCCACTATGCACGCAGGACCTGACAGTATCTATTTTGGGCCTGATTTCCCAACTCAACGATGGGGACCTTGGCCCAGCGCTAGAGGCTATAAATACCCTCTCACTTGAGAGGGTCAGATATTCATTCTTTCATACTCACTCTCATACTTGCTCGCACTGCTCTGAACCTTACTTTGACATCAGAGCGTCTTGCAGATATCCCCATCTCGTTTTCAGTTGCTGCTCAACTCACAATTCGCAGACTTTAACGATCCATTATGATCAGGTAGGATCAATAATCTAAACATGATATTTATTTACCACATTAACTGTTTTTCATACAACACTAAAAAAAATATTCTAATATAAAATAAATGTGTTTTTTCTTTTTAAAATATCAAACAAGAGTATATTTTCTCTCTAAAGAAATAATTTATTTTTTTCAACAAAATCAAATTAAAGATTTCATAAAAATGAATATGTATGTACATATTTTTTTTTTCCATAACTACCTTAAAATCACACATGTGAGTTGTTGATGTACAACATTTTAAAATAAATAAATGATTTTTTAACAAAATAAGCTGCAACAACTGAAATCTCAAAACATTCAAAATTTTATTTAATTATGACATTCCTTTTTTATGATTAAAGGTACTGTACATTTATTTAAAAAAATAGATAAAAATACTATACATATGTATATTTTACCATAGTAAGTAACTATCTGTTTTCAATTTACACAAAACTTATATTTTCCTTTAACACAGACAAAAATTGCAACAAATTAACAAAAATAGGATACATTGATAATAACAACAACTAATATAATTAAAGCAAATGACAAAAAAAAGTAAATTTTCATTAACTCTGTTTCTTTCATTTCAATTATTTAATATTTTAATTTAATTTCTATTGCAACTGCAACAGTAATAATAAAAAAGAAAAAGCTATAGAGACGTTAGCATGCTATGTGGCAACAGAACCATTTTTTCAAACTTTGAAAATTCAAAAATCAAATCAAATTCATCCGAGACAAAAACATAGTATCTGTGTTTGTGTCTTCAACATCATCATCACAATCCTATGTTAATGTTCTTTTTCCGTTGAGTGCTAACTAACAACCCCATTTCGCCTTTTCGAATTCAAAACTTTTCAAACTTGTTTTTTTCTCTCAAAGATGGAAACTTTATCTACAAACAGTGAAGATTCTCACAAGAAAAAAGATGGGTCTTTTTGTTGTGTCACTGATTCAAGTGCCGAGTCTAGAAAAACAAGTTTCAGTGGATCTAGTTCTACTTCCACCTCTTCAGTTTCCACTTCAGATGAAGCTAAACCAAAAGGGTTTTCTTCTCCTGCTCCTCCTCTTGGTTGGCCTATTCTCAAAGCTACACTTTCCAATTCAAAGCGTTCGAATTCTGATGAAAAACATAAACCTAACTTGGAGTTGGATCACAGGAAATTTACCTCTATTGATTTGAAAATTCCAGGTTAGTTAAAGTTTTTGATGTCAATAATCTGATTTTAAGTTATTAATTATAATATCTATTAAGTGCTTATCATTAGATTTTTCTTTTAATTGAAACAGATGTTGATATGATGAAGGAGAGATTTGCGAAGTTGTTGCTTGGTGAAGATATGTCAGGTTCAGGAAAAGGGGTTTGCACTGCTTTGGCTATCTCTAATGCCATTACTAATCTTTGTGGTATGTTTACTCACATAGATCCATATTGTAAAAGTGATTTGGTGATATATTTTAGCTTAAATTTGTAGTTTTTTACTCCAAACAAGTGTTTAGGACTCGTGATTTATTTCAATTCATTTTGGATTTTATGATTATGTAGCTACTGCATTTGGGCAACTATGGAGATTAGAACCACTGCCTTGTGAGAAGAAAGAAATGTGGAAAAGAGAGATGGAATGGTTTGTTAGCATTAGTGATCATATTGTTGAATTGATACCTTCTTGGCAAACATTTCCGGATGGAAAGAAACTCGAGGTAAAATTGGATTGAGTTTTGAGTCCAATGCTGAAATTTTGAGAATATATGAAGTATGATGTTTCTAATATGGTTCGCTTTGAAGGTAATGACTTGCAGGCCTAGGACAGATATTTGTATCAATGTTCCAGCCCTTCGCAAACTCGATAACATGCTACTCGTGAGTATCAATTTGTGTTATTTCATGGCAAATTAGTAGTAGTAGTTGCCAGTTGAATGATTGCAGTTTTCTATTAACTTACAATTTTGTTTTAACACAGGAAATATTAGACAGTTTTACAGCTACGGAATTTTGGTATGTTGATCAAGGAATTGTAGCCGCTGATGCAGATGGTTCAGACTCATTTCGTAAGTCAATTCAGCGGCAAGAAGAGAAGTGGTGGCTCCCTGTACCCCGTGTCCCGCCTGCAGGTCTCAGTGAGAACTCAAGAAAGAAGTTGAATCACTCTAGAGAAAGTGCGAGTCAAATTCTCAAAGCAGCCATGTCTATCAACAGCATCGCATTGGCCGAAATGGAAGTTCCCGAGTCATATTTGGAAACCCTCCCTAAGGTCTTATTTTCCCTATACATTGAAATGTTTACAAGTTAATCTTCTGTCAATTTATGACATGGTTTTGAACATTTGAGTTCTCATAAATATGTCCATACTTGCAGAATGGAAGAGCTTGCCTCGGAGATTTTATTTACCGATACATCACATCAGATCAATTCTCTTCCGAGTGCCTACTTGATTGCTTAGATATATCTTCTGAACATATTGCACTTGAGATTGCCAACCGCGTTGAAGCTGCATTTTATGTTTGGCGTCGAAGAGCTCACCACAAATCAACGCCTATTCCAAACCGTTCAACTACAAAGTCATCATGGGGGATAGTCAAGGACTTCATGCATGATGGAGATAAGAGAGATTTGCTAGCTAATAGAGCTGAAAACATTCTAAATTCCTTGAAGCATCGGTTCCCGGGATTAACACAAACAACCTTGGATACCAGCAAGATCCAATGCAACAAGGTACCATACAAATTTCATAACATGATCAATTTCATGGCCTATTTTATTATTGACATATTTGATTCGAACATTTCAGGATGTTGGAAAATCTATTTTAGAAAGCTACTCTAGAGTTTTGGAGAGCATGGCTTTTAACATTGTATCACGCATCGATGATTTGCTATACGTGGATGACTTGACAAAACATTCAGATACATTTGCATTGATTCCTCATCAAAAGATTAATCATCCATTTTCAGTGTCTGTCTCCGGCACTCCACACAAATCAGCATTCGGTACACCTAAATTTTCACCAATGCCATTGATTAGTCCTTCAAAAGGGGAGAGAACTCCTTTCCTCCACAACAATAACAACAACAATGTCAACAACATCAAACCTCAACGTCGCGGATTTGGGGTGAGAAGAGTGTTGTCAAATTATCTTGGCGTTGAAACAAAAACAAAGACATGTACCAATTCAACAGAGGTTAATTGTTCAAACCCAAGTAGCAAGAAAACAGAACAACCTCATAAGGAAACATGCGCCCTGAAAAACCAGACAAAATGAGACACAAGTCTTGTAACACTTGTTAATTTTTATTCCCCTTCATTTGTACCATTAACAAACTGTATTTTGTTTGTTAGTAGTTTGAAATCATGTTCAAATAGTTACTAGTGAAATCTCTAGCAGTTGGCATTTATATTTTTGAATTCAAATATGTTTGAAATCATATTCAAATGATATTTCAGCAATTAATTAGATGAAATGAACCCCTTTGGAGTCAAGTATAGTGAAATCATTATATTATATATATATATATATATATATATATATATATATATATATATATATATATATATATATATATATATATATATATATATATATATATATATATATATCAAACTACTAAGCGACGATGTAACCATATTCCATTGTTTAAATTGAGTAATGTTATTTTTGGAAAAAAAAGAAGCTTGGAGCTTTAGCATGTGTCACAAGTTGAAATTTGAAATTGATCAATGCAACACACAAAAAAGTTTTGGGAGTTTCTTACCACATCATATGTTTATGAAAAAAAAAAAACATATGAAAATCCAGTTTTACTCCGGCATTTCTGGAGATGTATCTACGGGAGGTAATTAGAAATGCAATCCTGATTAATTAGTGTGGGAAATTGAAAATTCTGCTACCTTTGCATGTCGATATTTCTGGAAGTGTATTTTTTGGAAAAATAAAAAATTAAATTGCTTAAAACAACAACTAGCATGAACCAGGGTGATCACCTTCATTTCCAAAATTTTCAATAAACCCTCTCTAAAAACCCTTTCATTCTCAATCAAGTTTTTCACTACAAATCTTCATTCTTCTGTTCATCATATCAAAAGGAGTTAAAAAAAGTGGAATTTAAGATAATGTTCATTCATTTCAACTCACACTCATCAGATTAATCTGGTTTTTCATGGAAAAAAGATCACGTTAATACCAGAAATGTACTTCCGGGTACGCAATGAACTGAATCGGATATACATTTCTGATTTCTGTCTGTGTTTATTTTTCTGCTAATTATTCCTTGCTATGGATATTTCTTAGTTAAATGTTTTTTACATTAGGTGTGATGCATCTCAATGCTATTTCTAAACCTATTGTTTCATCTCTCTTAGTTAAGGCGATAGATATTCAGAACCATTTTGAAAATGAACAAGAGTATGAATTTTGTGATGACATGTTGCAGTGGATTCGTATAGAGGCCACCAAACTAGGGTTTGGTGTTGTGATCGGAAGGCCCGATAATAGTTTTGATAGAAGATGTGCGTTTGTTACATTGGCATGCGAAAGAAGTGAGAAATATAGACGTCCTACCCGAAATTTGAAGCGAGATGATATCGGTTCAAGAAAATATGAATATACATTTAAGTTGTGTCGTTATCGGTTGACAAATAATAAATGGAGATTTAATGTGATATGTGGTTTACATAATAATGATTTTTGTGCAAACTTAGCCGATCATTCAATTTCATGTCGACTCTTGTCGGGAGAGAAGGAATGTGTTTCCGACGTGACATTGAATTTGGGATCTCCCAAAAACATACTTGCAACCTTGAAGTGCAAAAGATCCGGAAATATCTCAAATATCAAGCAAGTGCGCAATAGGCGTTATCAATCCAAATTAATGCTCATGGGAGATCAAAATGAAATACAACACCTCTTAAAAATTCTAGATGATAAATGTTCTGGAATGGACCTACGCTCAGTATGTCGTCAAGCAAGGCCCAACCCAACTCTGTAGCAAGGAAGATCCAATAACCTGTTGAGGATTGGACCTGCACTTGGTCCACTGTCAGGCAGGGCCAGCCCAACGTTACTGCGAGCAAGGCACAACAAGTCCCTGATAGCCGTGACCATTAGGGAACGTCTCCCACACGTGACCGTCAAGGACGCCTCCCACACGTGTCGTCGAGGATGCCTCCTCCACGTGCCCTTCGAGGAAGTTTCCTCCATGTGTCCTTCAAAGACATCTCATCCATGTGCCCTCCAAGGGTACGTGACCAACGTTCCTTCGAATATCTCGGAGTTCATCTTGCTCCCATAAATAACAAGTCTTCTACCACCAAAGATCACGGGGAAATTGAACCAGGATAGAGACCACGAACTAGTCTCATCTATCCACGTAGGATCTTGGCAGTCTCCATTATGGGTCTGGACATCCGACCCAAAATGGGGATCTTGGCTCAGCGCTAGGGGCTATAAATACCATATTTCACTAGAGGGTCTAATACACTATTCTATTCACTCTAAATCCATACTTTCACTTTCTCTTTGAACATTACTTTGGCATCAGAGTGTCTTGCAGATATCCCCCAACTTTTCCTTCATCACAACAGAAGCCCAAGTGTTGCAGGCCACGAAGATCCTTCTGATCCCGATAAAATTAGTGGCTCTGTCTGTGAGAATCTAAGCTTCCTCGTCTTTTTCCAAACCTAAAGATCAAAGAAAATTCATCAATACATATCGATCCTCATGGTCATCTAGCACAACAACAACGGTAACAACGACAAAACTGTTCATCCGCCTTTGCCAACGGTGGAAATAATAATAACGAGACGATTGGGCATGAGCAACGTGACCCCTGGGAAGGACGAACTGCATCCTCCTCGTCTAGGGAGAACCCCATCGACATTCATCAATAGGTCAACCAGCCTAGGGCGTATCAAGAAATCCTTGTGCCACCCAATGTTGATCCTACCATTCTCGCCCAGTTTGCGATCATCAACCAAACCAACTATCTGATTTTTCAACAGAACGGGCGCATTTGAATGCTAGAGAAGGGAAGACGATCACGTGGTGGACCCAAATCTCGCAGCCCGTCTTTGCAAGACAAGATGCTCGTTCCTGTTCTCCCCCCGAAGACACTGACGGGATGAATCTCAAAGCCTATTTCCTCGTCGAACCGAACAAGGCCCTCGACTAGAGAGACCATATCATGTAGTCGTCAAAAAGCACGATCCCACTTCGCCGTGCAGGGAACGAAGGTCCCCAAGTCCTAAGAGGAATAAGGCTAACGAGCATCCAGAGAAGTGACCGGTCACCATTTTCACTATGTGTTTGTCACTTATCTGACGATAATCTAGGTATTCTACACCGCTTTGTGTCGTATTTCACTACTGTTTGAGTTGAATTTATGTTTCTTGAGTTTCTCCGCATTTTATGTTTTCTTAAGTATATTTCAAGTTATTTCTCGTTTTATGTTTTGGTTGGTTGTTGCGACTGTTTCAGGTTCATGCGAAGGATCCTAGGTACTCGATACGAAAAAAGTCAAGGAATCGGAGGTCTCAGAGAAGTTTCAACAAGTTACAACAAGCCTGACACAGCCACACGTATTACCTGACACGGCCACCCATATCACCTGACACGGGCCGTGTCAGGCAGAGGAGCACATGAAGAGCAAAAAACCATAGTGCCAACACAGCCACCCGTGTCACATGACACGGGCCGTGTCAGCCATGTTGAGACTTAAAGATTCTTGGGGAATGGACAAATGACCAACAGGATTGGCCTTGTCACCTGACACAGGCCGTGTTGGTCCAAAAGCTGAGCTTTTCTGATTTTTCTATTTGACTCTAAGTGAGACCCAGAAGGGCGTTTTGGACATTTCGGACCGAGAACAATTGATTATGACTATTTGAGGCGGTTTTGACAACCAAATGGAGGACCTTTTTGCAAACAACTAATTTCAGAGTCTAGGAGGAAGGATATGAGATTCTTGAAGAATAGATATCTTTGATGAGCGGTCGCAATAGAAGACCAAAGTTCCTTCATCATCTGTAATGTTAAATTCTTATATTTTTGTAATTCTCGTGAACAATATCAACGGCTAAACCCCCCAATGCTAGGGGGTGTCCCTGATTTGAATCTGTAACGACTTTGAATTTCTGATTTTCTCAATTCCATGGTTTTTACTATTCAATTTAATCGTACAATGTTTTTATGCTTTCCTGATTGGACCAATTAGGATTGATTTACGATTAACAACTAGTTGGACCGCAATTGTTAAGATTTTTATACGATTAGACTATAGTAGATATCACCTAGGACTAGGGATACCCTACAGTTACCAGATTAACCCTTGATAAAACAAAGGCTTGACTCCATCAAAAATCTCTAAGGACTTAGGGTTTAGGATGAATGGTCAAAGGTTTTCTTACTAAGTACTTAGGAGAAGATAATCTAAAGGGTTGGTAGTTGAATATTATGAAATTGTTGAAGAAATCAAGATTTAAGGTCGTTATAGGGAAAATCACAAACTCACCCATAACATAGTACTCATATTAGTAAAAAAACCTTAATTTACTTTTTGCTTTATTTTTATAATTGCAAGGATAAACTACAACCAAAAACTAAACGTTAAGTTTTTGTTTAATTGAACCACACATTAAGCTCGATACTTATACGCAATCTTCGAGATAGATATTCAGGGAATCTCTCTACTATTACTATATTGGAAAAATAGTATACTTGTTATTTTGACGATCAAGTTTTTGGCGCCGTTGTCGGAGACTGCCAAATTATAGAGTTAGTTAAATTAAAATTTTGTTGCTCTGCAATTAAAATTTAATTGTGTTATTTTTATATTTTTCGTTATTACTGATTTATGTCTAACCCTTGTATGCGAGGAAAGCCCTCACCTGAATTTTCTTTTGATGCAGAAATCGAAAAAACGTTTCACGCAAGGCACAAACAAGCTTGATTAGTTAGACTGGAGTCATAAGGTTCATTAGATCATTCAGGTTCAGAGTACAAATAGGAAAGACCAATGGCTGAAGATACACCACCACCTAAGAGACTTCTTAGGGACTATGGAGGAGCAAATGCTCCAGCAGGTCAGTTGACTACTGTGAATCAACCGGTAATTGTGGAAAAATTTTAGCTGCACTCCTCAATAATCCGACAACTTGAGAATAAATCCTTCACCAGAAAGATCAATGAAGATGCCAATAAGCACTTGCAGAGATTCCTCACCATGAGTACTCCTTTGAAGATTGAGGGACACTCTGAAGAAGCCAATA